ATAATTAATATAATCATGATAAAAAAAAAATTCTAAATTGTTTAAAATTTTATAATAATTTAAAATCAAAATCAATAATAGAAAATAGAAAATTCTGGGCAAAAAATACTTTTTGTATGTTATTAGATATCATTACCTATATTGWTTTTTATTAGAACATAGCAGTGWTATGTCTTTCTAAAAATAGAGAACCAATATTTTTCATGACGTTATATCTATAAAAATAAATAAAAACATATATTCAATGAAAAAATCTACCTCTTCAAGTACCGGACCAACTCCTGTAGTAAAAAATGTACCCACTTTGTGAACCGGATACTAAAARATCTCAATGATTTAARTTATTTTTAATTTTTAATCCTCAGGAGTTACGAAAAATCAGTACTGATTTTAAAAACAARCATAATATTATTAAAACTCACGATCACATTATATAATAGGATAATACTACGAATTACTATACCTATTGTATTAGAGTGACGATGATTGCGATAAAATTAATAATTTTAAGTTTCGTTGTTATTGTCATGCACTTTGATAGGATTTATTAGTTACAAGAACTAGACTYTTCGAATAGCAAATTTCAAAGCCATTCGAGGGGTAGGGGGGAGGGTTAAGGTATTCTCCATCRCGATCATCACTATTTTTTATTTATAGTAAATTAAAATGTTTCAGCGCATTACGTGCTATTACAAGTATTTACTTTTATACAACTTATATCACGTTAATATTATTAAAAATTATTTCTATAACATAATATASATAATATTGGTGATTTTGATTTTTAACAATTTAAATAARAATGCGAGTTAATGAATACAGTTTAAAAATTCCAATTAGAGTTAATGAGGGTATGATAAGTAGGTGATATAGTGGATAAGATTTTATATTTATTAACTAGTRTTGTGCAATAATAATAAATTATGGAGAGATAGTGTCTTATGCGATTAGTGCATTTAGGACTGAAGAAATAAGGGAAATATAATTTAATATTCTTAATGAATTAAGAGTTGYTATGAAGTTTGAAAAAGTATTAGAGGTTTGGTTTATGTTCATATTTTGACTGTTAGTGGCTTCTGAATATGATTTGTTTTTGGGTTGAGTGTTGAAATCGGGAGCTTTGACAGGTATAGAATTTTTGGGGCAGACTTTTTAAACGCTGAACATTCCTTGAAGTTCGCGGTGTGGTCAAAGGTACATAAAAYGAATTTAGCGGGACTATTTCGGTCTTTGGTACACTCGCTCGTTTGATGGATTTCACCWCATTTGACGCATCGAGCTTAATGATTGCAGTAATTTTTTGTATGTCCGTAGGCTTGGCAGTTGTGGCATTGTGGGTGGGCCTCGTATTTTTTCGTATGGTTTTTATATTATAACTTTCGTAGGTTGGGTAAGATATGTTATGTTGTAGATATCACTAATATTTTCCTGCGGACAAAAAATGTACACGAAGAATAGCAGCAATGAGCAATCGTTTTTGTTGCTGACATTCTATATAATCTTAGCTGAGTTTCCTAGTACGGAAAAAGCAGAACCAATTTCGGTGTGTGAGGTGGAATTATGTAAATTCCTTAAGACAACCCTGAATGCGCGATGATTAGGAGAGGTGTACGAATGACTAGCTTTAGTTTCRTGTAAATAATCTATAATTGTGTTGTAACTACGGAGACCTGAGAATTGTACAATGAGATATGATCAAATAGACTTACAAGTGAAACCATTTGGTGTTTGGCGATATTTTTAGGATRGTGTTAAATCAGAAAGGTTTGTTACTTTTTTGATGTGGATGGGAGGGYCAGAGGCTCCATATTCAGTGGCGTATCTATGTATTTAAGCATAGAGGTGCACCTAATTTTTYGGGCCCCTTATAAAGTTTCAGTTGCTACTTGTTGATTAGGCCGATYAGGGGCTCAAGGGCTCTATTTATAAAACACAGCTAAAGGGCCCTGGTGCAATGCACCTCCTGCACCCCCTCTAAGTACGCCACTGTCCATATTGTGATTTTTGTRAGGCAAGCAGTCTGTATGATCATCACTATAATTAAGTAGTCCCAGGGAGTCCAGTTAGATTAAAGTCGAAAATAAACCGTAAACAAAAAGCATCACTCTCATCTTTTAAACTAAAATGTAAACAAAAAATACAATAGTAGGTATATCTTACATGATAAATAAGACTAATATATATATATATAAATTTTATAGTAATTGTTTATGATATTTTGCTACCATATGATTACCGTTTATGCGAATGTTAAAATATCATTATCATGAAATCTGAATTKTATCATAGTCAACCTGATGTGTGTTTTGTTTCTCCTTATAAACATAATATATGTTTTGTTAGTATATAGACTATAGATCCACGATATTTTTTTATTTGTTCAATGTTATAGATAGAAAAACAAATTTAATTAATTTACACCCACCAATGAGAGTTTTACATTTTTTCTTACTCAACGATTTGGATTTTAATAAGGAGRTGCTAACATTTATATGGGGTGAGGGGAATCGTGACGCCCGCTAAATTGCATCATGAACACGTTTTTATGGAAGTAATTCGCGACGCGTTTCGCAGGTTTTCGGGACTGAAGGCTATGTCGTACCACGCTACCAACGTGGCGCTCCACGGACTGGCCACCGGCCTGGTGCTGTTCGTCGCCCGTACGGTGACGAGCAAGATCGGCGCACTGATGTCCGCCACCCTGTTCGCCGTGCACCCGGTGCACGCGGACGCCGTGGCCTCGGTGGTCGGCCGGGCCGACGTGCTGTCGTGCGTGTTCTTCTTGCTGTCATTCCTGTTCTACGGCTGGCACGTGCGGGCCAGGGACAGCCACCGGCACCACGGCCAACAACAACACGGGCTCGGTGGTCGGCGGCCGCAGCCGTGCTGCGGCAAAAACGGCGACGGCCGTCCGGCGGCCGCTTACCTAGTGTTTTGCGTGCTGTTCGCGCTCCTGTCCATGCTGTCCAAGGAAAACGGCATATCCGTCATGGCTGTGTGCATAGGTTATGAACTCATGCTGCGGCTTAGATCCATCAAGAGGTGGARCAAGGTGAGTGCGCCCGTTAATCACTAATCACATAATGTTATTTTATATTGACAAGTCAATAAAGTCTTGATATAATATGCAGTGGAACGATAACTCGAACTGGTTGGTGGCGAAAAAAAATTCGAGTTATCGAAAATTCGACTTACTGAAGTTCACACATCGACTTATAGAGGTTTGAGTTATCGAGGTTCCACCGTATATGWATATCAATGATGATTACAAGCGAATAAATGATTTAAAATTAAGAATTCACAATCGCAAAAAGTATCAAGTATTTAAATTTTCCGATAAAAAATAGGGAGATGTAGGTAACCAGTAGAATCATATGTGTCGAGTGTACCTCGCCATTGAAWAATACGTGTAACGAACATTAATGGCCGTTGTCACACTATCCGTTTAAGGGTCCGTCAAYGCCAACTGGAGATTATAGTAAATAGTTACTAGATAATATCCGAAAAATCATATAATATATGATATTTAGGTATATTAATATTAGCTTAACGATTTTCACTTGACAAGTACATTATTAATGTACGTGGTATTCGGCTATGTTTGTATACTGTAGGTCGTTAATTAAAATGACTTATTCGTGACAAGACAGTTTTCATAATTGAATTGACGATGTTACGCTAACATACGCCATAATCCTATATCAAAATTCGTCAATAGTCTTAATTAATGATGTACTTAGAATCAATATAAATTAATATTATTATGGATTACATGAAATTATAAAAAATTTCTCATCCGTATGAATCGTCATAATAATAATTAACAATTTCGTTTTTGCGTATATTAATTTATAATATACTTTTTTTTTAAATAAAATGGATATTTACAAAAAATATATTAACAAACGAGTCTTAAATCAACAACATTATGTTTGCCTCATTTTAGATTTAAATAACTGTTAGGGAGAATAATATAGTTACCTAGCTATAAAATTGTCAAATTATAAAAATGGGACATAAATTTGAGTTATAACAATCGTAAGACACTAGTTGCTGGCGAGGAATACGTTATTGAACGAATAATAATAGTTAGAAATAACAATTATGTTCTTTTATTTATTCATTTTTATAATGTTTAAAAAAATTATAATGTACCTTGAGAACATTATTTCAGAAAATATGGAAATTCTGAATGCCA